CCCAGTGTTTGCATCACTATTGAAAATAGTTTGAAAGTAGTGGCACCAGGCATTTGCTGTGATGCAGGCATTTGGTGCAGGATTGGGACCTATATCCATAGCTGAGACCATACTCCAGAATTTTCGCTCTTTCTTTTCCAGCACAGCCTGCCCTAGTTCCTCCCACTGGGCTGACATGAATGCCCATTTCTTTTGTTTTAAAAGTTCCTTATATTTTGAGCGGTAACGAGCCAGCGCCTCCAGATTCGATTTTGAGTGCATCTTCCTCGTCTTCCTTGTTAAATGGGCTAGATGCTTTTTGGTTAGTCTACATTCTTGGTCATACCATCCCCGTCTATGTGGGGCTAGGGAAGACTCCTGTGGCTTTTTAGTTAATAGAGGTCTTAAGTTAAAACTGATATAGTTGGTGCCTTCTATTGGATCCCTATGTCCGATTACAATATCCCTATGTGCACTCAGCAGATGTGGGTTGTTTAGCTGTTCCCGAATTGTTTGGTCAACAAGAGGGGACCATTTTAAGCGTTTCCCTACAATCATAGTTCTCTCTGCCCAATCAGCCGGTGGTGGGGGCAACTGTGGAGTTGTCAGGGGGATGGAGAGACAGATGGGTAGGTGGTCACTATCGGGTCAGTCTAATATATTGTATTTTGTCTCCTGGGACACCAGCCTAGGGGACACCAGCCCCCTACACAAACCATCAAGTTCTCTTCTAAGCCATGGTGATGGTGATGAAGAACCTCTTTCACATAACCCATTGTCCATTTTCTACATTCCTCGGACTGCCTTCTTCATGATCATAAACCAATCAATTCAAAGAGGTGTAACTGTCCATTCCGCCCACAATTCTCATGGAGATGCAGGTGGTTTATCTCCATTCCAATTAGAAAAGAATTTGTTGGTTCTGAGCACAGGGAGGAGTGGGAGGCAGGACCCAACTTCATTGGGGGTTGAGAGGAGGCAGCAGCAGGACAGAGTGGGAGTGGGATAAATAGAGGAGGAAGAAAAAAAGGCTGCCAAAGTGATTTCACATCTCTTCCTCAGCTGCATGCCACTGCCACCATCTTAGGGAGGACAGCAGAGGAAGAGGTGGAAGTGACAAGCCACCACATGAAGGGAGAATGAAAAGAGTGATGGTTCCCTTCCTGAGGGGAAAACTCATCCTCCCCTAGTAAAACCCAGTTTTAACCTACCCTCTTTACCTCCACCTCTCTGATCCCATTAAGGGGCAGTCGGGGGTGGTGGGAGTGGCTTTAACAAGCACTCAGCCACAAATTTTGAAGCCATTGCCCAGATGCAAGCAAAACTATTGCAATAATAATAGCAATAATATTCTTAGAAATGCAGAGCAGGAAGGGACCCTATGGATCATTCATTATATATTGAAAAATCTATTTTAATGTGTTTCCTTTGCCCCATTTAAAATGCCTGTTATGCAAATGTAGCAGGAAGTTGCAGGTTACTTCACTATTGCTGTATAAAAGAGGGTCCCAACTTGAAAAAGGTTGAGAAACATGTTGAGAGTTTTGATTATAACGTGTATTCTCATAACATCAGCAGAGTAAGGAGATACTGGTTAGCAGAGATACTTATGACACTATGACACTGAGAGAGTAAATCCAAGTAAGTCTATTTACATATATACATACAGAATAGATATTCCTCTGGCAGCATAACATGACATGAAGCAGCACACAGCATAGGAAAAAGTGATCTGACTTACAGCAGATAAAGACGTTTATTTTACACATGACTTATGTACAGTTCTGTGACCAATCAGAAAATATATTGCTATTCATTCATTCATTCATTCATTCATTCATTTTATATGCCGCCCACACTCTGTACAATGAAACACAAAACATACACACAAACATTCCAGACACTCAATAAGTAAGAGAAGGGCGAGAATCCTGAGCCTTACCTGTGAAAATTTCTCCAAAATTTCTTGTCCTTTAACATCCTTTTCTAAGGGTATATGTTTTCTATCTGATTGCAAGAGAATGGTCAAAATTTCTCATGGGAGAAATTTTCAGCCCATCACTGTTTAAAAGAGATGGTGGTAAAGCACATTGGCCAAAGAAACCTCAGCTCTCACTTGATAAGTAAGCAAAAAACTAAAACAAAGTACTGATTGATTTTATGAATATTAGACTGCTTTCTTGAGGTTTTCAATTAAAATGCTGCTTTTTCTCAACCTTTTCTTCCAAATAGGCACTCACCAAAAGTAGTGAAGGCAGCATCTCAGGTCTTAAATAGCATGTGGCAGTACAGAGACCTGAGAAGTCTCTACAAGAAGGTAAGATGTATTTAATAACTTTTTTTCATTCTTAAAATTAACATCTCTGGGGGTGGAGGAAGGAGTTTTGGAATAAAAAAAGTGTGAACCTAGTATTTGAAATATATGCCTGTACGTAAGATTAAGCCTCATACATTACACGGATATGCATGTGCACACAAACATGTACTTAAGTGGGGGGACGGATTTCGGATTTTCTTGCGAGATAAGAAGTAAGACATGAAATGGATATTTTGGGAGGGATCAAATTTTGTTTGAGGATACATCAAAAGAAGTAAATTTTAAAGTACTTTTTATAATTCATGATAGTTAAATGGATGTTGTAGAAACACAAAACAATACCTTTTTTAAAAGAGAGAGAGAGAGAAACACAGTGCATAGGCCCCTTTAATAAATAGTTATCCAACACTACCACCAGTGACTTGGCCAGAGGTGTGAGTTGTTCCAATAAGTATTTCATATGCTTTAAATTTTAAATTTGTCCTAAATATCACCCTAGCTTAGATTTTCAATTTAGGTCTGAAATTATCTCCTGAAGCATAGCAGCCCATCAGATTTTCTCCACAATCCAGTCAGAATCATCATCCAAGCCATTCTGATTAGGCCACTTGTACATGTCATTGTTGCATGGTCCTCTTTAAAACATGAATACTTCAAAGTATTCCATCAGCCATCACCAAAATAAGTTGCAAGGTGTCTAAATTATCAGAAAGGTCCCTTCACAATGCTGACTCAGTGACACACTGACAGATAAATAAATAAATATAAAAGTATCTTAGTGATACTTAGTGATAAACGTCTGTATGTGGAGATGAATTCCTGCTGTCAAATTGTCTTGCAAAGTTTCTTCTTGCAGAACTGGGAGAGAAGACATGTTCACCGGCAGAATTGGTGTAAAATGATGCCTGAAGCCCTCCCTAAGAGTTCTTTAGAACTGTATAAACCTCCAGGGAAAATCAGAAGCCTGTGTTCATCACAGCTGTATTTAAATCCAAAAAAAGGAGTAACTCCAAAATAAAGCCAGGCAATCACTGACAATCACAGTTCATTTGAGTATCATGGTAGAAGTTTTTTCATTGTTACAGTGATTACAGGTGACATCAGCTTGACTAATTCTATAAGCTTAGTGCTCACCCAACCAAACCAGTTTAAATCTTTGGAGGAAAATCCGTGTTGATTATGTTGCTGGCTTTTGGAAATAAAGCTGTTACACTCCTACATGATTATTGCTATTTGATGTCTGGTGCCCAAAGTTTAGATGTTGTGATGAATTCTAAATTTTTTTTTAATGTGTGTTTGTCTGTCTGTCTGTCTAATCTCCCTATATTTATAATTCTTTCAGTTGTCCACACCTTCCCCCACCTACCTGTAAACAGTCTTTTTTTCTAGGGCTTGGAGTTCCAAAAGCGTGAGATCCAAGAGCAATTTTTCAATAAGAAATTCAATTATTTTAACACAGATTATAATTCTAATGATATATAACTGAAAACCTGGCAGGTTACCTCTTGGACTCTCACATCATTGTTATGACTAAAAAATTTGCAAGACCTAAAAGAACAAAGGCTGGTAACTTTAAAAAAATCTAGACCCCCAGAAACCTGAAAAGTCAGAATATTACTATGACTTAATCTTGTAGTGCCAAAATATTGAAACTACAAAGAGTGTTTATTATAAATCCTGTACATGCCACTTCCACATTTACAAATGGTAACAAAAACACTTCATTATAACACGAATATGTTCAGCTGTCAGGATGTTGTTGTTTAGTGACTTCACGCGACCATAGACATGGTTAATTGTTTTGAAATGACTATAGTAAACTGTTTTTCAAGCCTTGGTTTTAAAAGCAGTTTAATTTTCAGGGCTATTTTTTTCTATACCACCTTAACTTTTATTAACACTCTATACTCATAAAATTTCAAACCTTGACACTGGGAGACAGAACAGGTTTCCCAAAATCTGTTTTCCACTGCAGCACTGCTCCCTGCACTGTGCTGATGAATCCCTTGATTCTTTGACGCAGATTTGTGGGGACTATGCCACCATTTAGTTAATGGAAACCTTCACTGGATAGAGCTAGCTATATTAGTCTCTTCCAGCAAAGACCAAAACATAAGAGATTTATTTCAGTCTGCACTTTTGTGGGTTACAGTGTGCTCTTTCAGACCCTTCAGGATGTGTCTGGAGTAGTGGTCTGCAGTCCACAAAAGCTCACACTGAGATCTGTTAGTCTTAGTGGTGTCACAACATTTTGGTTTTTGCATATACTATTGTTTTGTTTTTTGTTGATACTGGAGACACCATTAGATCCAAAGCATCCATTTGTTTCAGAGGAGGAAAAGGCAAACTCAGTCTGGGAAGGTGTGGAGAATATGACTGAAAATGCACCAGTTAAAGGATTGAAAGTTAATAGTAAAGATGAAAATGCTGCAAATCTGTGGTGCAAAGGTACACATTTATTTTGTTGTGGCGAATAATGCCCATCAGGTTTCAAAAAAACAAAAAAAAGACAGGTAATCCTGAAAAGTATAAACAACCAAGGGCTTTGAGTTTTCTGAGAAAGAAAAGCTCTCATTTGGAGGGGGGAAGGAGTTGATGAAGGCTTCTACAAAACAAATGATATAACGAGGGCAGAGAGACATAAATTATTGTATTTTCCTTACACAATACTAGAACTTGGGTGCTTCCAATGAAATAGACTGAAAGATAGTTCTAGGCAAAACTTAAGGAAGCATTTTTTTTCAAGTGATATATAATCAGCTTGTTGGATTTACAGTCATAAAATGCAACCTATTCAAGAAAGTTTTAGTATTTTGTTTGGTTTACATTGAGCTGTCAGACTTTAAAAGTATATGGAAGCTTCCTATACAGTGATAGTATGCCTCTAATTGTAAAATACTGAAGGCAAACAAGGGTGTCTGACCCTGTCAGATGAGTCTTTCAGGGCCATTTGGTTGGCCACAGTTGGAAATTGAGTGCTGGTTAGTGCCTGTTTATTCTGTTTAACAGCCAAATGATGCAGTGGCTCCAGTCCTGATCGTAGGGCAAAAGGGAGCCCTAGGGAACCTCAGAACCTGTAGGGTGGATAAGAATCTTCAATTAATATAAATTACATATTCCCTGTGATGGATGACACCAGCTGGCATATCTTTACATCAACAAGATTTCAGCCTATGAATACTTAGTTGGCCATAGACTCCTTTGGATTAGAGAGACTTGCTTCTAAGCAACCATGTCCTCTTCAAGTTAGTTTTTCTGTATGTGTACTCAGAATTGTGCCACTGATATGTCAAAATCATATTATACAGGCAACCAGGAGTATGTATTTCCTTCTCATTATATTACTGCTTTTGTTTCAAGTTTATCCTGGAGTCAGATAATTTTCCCAGAGTTAGACCGAAGGAAGGATTGTTTGCAAGGCTTATGATTGGCATCTTCAGATCAGATGTGGAACGGATGAGTATAAGTTGTTTGAGGCAAAAGAGTAAAAAAAAAGTTGAAAAAAATTATTTGATTGAATACCACTTATTCATGGCTAGAATCGATGTTTTAATAGTTAAAAGTACTTCTCAAATAAGGCTGTACTGAATATTTTCTTATTTCAGCATTTGCTTCAAAAGCAGTACATTCAATGCAGCTGAGCAGAATGCTAAAAATATCCCTCTGAACATTCCCATTATTTTGATGGCCTTCAGGACTCCTCTGTTTCCTGGATGCTGTTTCTCTACACTACTCCATATTCCAAGCTCTCTTGGTGTTTGGCCTCATTTGTCTCCCAAACTGCTGTTTGTGGTTTGTTTGTTGTTTTGTCAGCCAAAACATAAAATTCTCCCATTAGCCCCTATCTCTCCTTAGCTGGGTGACCACATTTTGAACGGCACAAGGTTTCCATGTAGTTTTCAAATTTATCTCTGTGGAGAAAGGAGTATTGCAATGCCACATCCTAGATGAGAACAAGTATTATGTAGCAGTGGCCAGCTCACCTTTCTCCAGGAGCAGAAACAACTGTGTACCTGCTTACAAAATAAATTCCTAACCACAGTTTCCTTCCTGGATTCAAGGCACAAATCAGGTCTGTGCAGAATCCTCACCCTGTATTAATGATCTTACACGAACGAGTATCAACCTATCTGGGACATTATAACTATCAATTTCCAAGTCAATTTCACTTCTCACCTCTTATTTGCCTAAACCAAATTTAAGTTATTTTGTCCACCCCATCATTTACATTGATTTAAAACTGTCATTGAGCACTTGGTTCCATTGAAAGGGAGAGCTACCGGTCTTGTCATCCATATATTGATTGGTTCTCCAAAGCCCTGTTCCAATTACAGTATTTCATAAAAGTTTAGAAAAGCAATATGAGAAGTGACCAAACCTTGAATTAATCTTTATTATAAAGCCCACAAAATGTAAGAGAAATTAGTCTTAGTACAACCTTCTGGGATTTCTCTGAAACATTGGAGTAGAATGACTGCAATGAGGTGCCCGGGAGCAGGTTTCAGAGATCAGACCTCTACTTGTTTTAGCACGTCAAAAATCAGCCTTGAATAACTGAGAAACATATTCAAATCAAAATTGTGCTCAGTTCCAGACTCACTCCTGTAAGTCTTACAGTAAAGTATTAGGCCTGGTGATGCAATTATATTCATCTGAGGGTCAAAGTCATACACTTACTATGTAACATGATGCTGATATTTCAACAAGTTAATTACAGGCGTGCTGGGTGAGTGTTTTTACTATGAATTACTGATAGCTCAGAGACCAGGCTGGAGAGGGCACCTGAGCCCACCATTTCAAAGTGCTTTGAACAGAAAAGCGAGAGGTTTTGCCTCTTTATTCCCCAGTTGCAATTTGGTTGCAATTTCCCCCACCTCCAGCTTCACAGAGTTTCATGAAAAAGCTGCCTGTGTTGGATTCGTGGTCAGAATGTGGTTTGGGAATTTAGAGATAAGCATTCTTATCCATGTGCTATATTTAAAATAAAAGCTACTTCCATGTGTGACTATAATCACTGTATGAAAAAACCAAGACATTGCTTCATGTTCTACAGTAATTATAAATAAAGTTTGATCCTGAAGACCCACTGCACATTCATTCAGTACTGTGGTTGCTCCTGCCTCTGTGGCTATTGTTCTGCTCTTAGAGGCATATATAAATTTCTATATATTTCTCAACACACTTGGTTACAATAACACCCAAGAGAAGGTTAGCTGGTGCATCTGTCTGGTATGAAAACTACATGTATTAGAGCAGTGGTTCTTAACCTTGGGTTACTCAGGTGTTATTAAACTGCAGCTCCCAGAAACCCCAGCCAGCACAGCTAGTGGTGAAGGCTTCTGGGAGTTGCAGTCCAAAAACACCTGAATAACCCAAGGTTAAGAACCACTGTGTTAGAGAACACTGTCATTTTTCTGTCATGGGAGCAACCATGGAGATAATGTTGGCAGCCCAGTTATAGGTCAAGAACAGCTGTTTTGTTCCACAGCTAAAGGTGGGGTAACTCGTGCTAATTTTAAGCATTGCTTAAACAGATGTTCATTTTCATTGTGCACCTTGGAATTTACACAGTCAAGGGTAGGATGAACATTCTCTGTTTTTGATTGGGAATGAATCTCTAGCAGTGTGATCCATTTCTGAGTCTCATTTGAAACTCTAATCGTTGTACCAAATATATATATATTGTGGCCTAGTTCCCATATTTCTGTGTCACTGTAGAAAAATACCTCATTGAAATAAATAATTGATTGACTGCTTGATTGATTTGTGGCAGCGGGTGGCCCCAGACTTCAGAGTGGCTGAGGACAGAGGATTTTCACCTACCCATCATTCTGAGTCATGGCACGCTCAGCATACCCTCTCCCAGAACCAAGAAACCAGAATCTATTCCCAGACCCAGGTATTCTGGCTGTCAACTGACCAGTCTTGATTTTTTTTCTAAATTTTAATTACTTTTTTTTAAATTTACTTATTTATTCTAAAATTGATATGCCACAAACAATGCCTCACATAGTGGCTAACAAAAATATTAACACATTTAAAACACTGGTTGATGTTGAATGCATACCTAGCTTAGCATCTGAAAGAACACTGAAAAGTATGTTTATAGGCCTAAGTATAATTATAGATTGCATTGTCTAGAATATATTTTAACATCACTTGCATCATCAGCCAACTCTCACTCACTCACCTTATATTGGTAATGCAGGTAACAGCTCTCACGCTAGTGTTTTCACTGCCTCTGAGGCGGGTTTACAAATGTCAGGTTAAAAAAAATAGGAAAGGGTGGGGAACATTAGTTCTTTCCCCCACCCCCTATGTTTTCTACAATATAGTATGTCATGTGTACATTATCAGAAATTTTGTTGATGTTAAAAAAGATTCTTTTAGTCAAGAATTTTGTTTTGTGAGCCAATATTTCTTTTGCATTTTAATGACAATGTATGAATACAAAGTTGACTTAACTTCTCACATCCCTTGAGGCATTCAGAGGAAGTATAAAAAATGCAACAGAATCATTTACAATCTCATGTCCTACTAGCTTACGGTAGACTTTGGTGTGCCTAATGCTTTGAGATTGTGATCTGTGAGCTACAGAACCTCTGTTTCAAATCTCACCTCATCCACTATCTCTTCACTTCATCTCTGTAATACAGAAATGATAGTGTTGGCTTATGGTACAGAATTTCCATGAAAAAAATGATTCCAGAGTGACTTGAATGGTTCATATGTATTGTGTAGATACAAATATTCAGTGTTGAGTAATGATTTTATTAGGTATAGCTTTAATGTTATAAATTGTGATGTATTTTCTTACTCCAGTGACAGTTTGAATGTTTGTATATGTAGTGTGTCCCACTCAGCCACCCAATGCTGGAAAACACAAGTTGGGAAAAAGTAAAATGAAATCAGAAATAGTAAAATCAACACTTCTTCAAAGTTGAAGAAAATTTGATTTTTCTTGAATGTTTCTAGAGTGTATCACATCTGCTTTGACACATCATGATTTCCC